ATAGTCCAACACCTCAAAGTCCTTATTTTAATGAGTAAGCGAATAGCTCTTATTTACTTACAAGTCTATATAGTTCGCAGGGTTTATGTTATCTAGAATCTAGCTAGATCATTGGTAATCTAAGTGCTCCATGCGGAGCCCGTGGCTCCGTGTGAGAAACCTAGGAGCTTCGCGAGTTATTTGTTTACTTATTAAAATCTTGACTTGGTTTATTTTGTAATTGTCTAAAGAAGCTATAATGACATTAATAAAATTTGACAACGTTAGCGTCGAAATGTGGCAAGAGGTGGTAATTCAAAATTTATATTATCTATTATAAAGTACAATAGGTACTGCTATATTTGAATTACCGCTTTGTTTATGGTATAATGTAATATTCATTGGTCGTTTATGAAAAAGATGCAAAAAAATGGTAAGTTTTTGATAAAATTTATACTTATTCGCCTGAAACTATATTGGATTGGAAAAATAACTTGTCTTTTTGCAGTTTGTAAATATCCTTGTGATAACACAAAGCATGACTTACAATATTATTTATTTGTTCGAACTCTCTATATAAACTCTTTTACATATAAATTGTGTATTTTGAAGAGCCTTGGCCCTAAAGATTGCTTTCAAAATGAGGCTAAATGATTATAGCACTTGCAATGAAGCATATTTAGTGTTACAAAAGTAAAAATTGAAATCTCGATTTGAGCCCGTTGGAGGTGCATCTTATATTTATTTGAAGTTATTAAAAGATGTTAAAAAGTTGATTGAAGATTTTTTATCTGTTTTAAATACGAGCATATGGGGTCAGTGTTGAAAATAAGTAATTTATATTATACATTAACATGCCATCAGATTTCTTAATAAATATCTGAAGTTCGCTATCCGTAGGTATTTTATTTATTTATAAGGATCGACTAAACGTATTTTATATTTGTTTTAATGCTTTGCTATACATCGAACACATTAGATGGTGAACTTTCACTTTTCGTAAAAGCAAATTCAACAAAAGTAGACAAATTTAATGTATATAGTTTCATATGTTTTACATTATCGTAAAATGTATTTATCCGCTTTCATCCTTTCGAACGACTATTGTTAGAAGCGATTGTCTATCAAAATGTGATTACATTTAAATACAAACTTTTGTTTAAATATTGATTTTGTTGTAGAATATCATTAAAAAAATCTCAAAGTTCAGAACAAAAACAGTCATGAATTTATTGCTGCTTGAACAATAGTCGTAGGAACAAAAATTGGTTGAAATGTTCTTGATTTGTTGACTGATGGTACATTGCTATATATCGCCGAATGAGAATAGAAGGGGCCTAAGTCACATTTTCGGTAAATTCACTTTTTTCAATATTTTAGGGTTTGAGCCATGCTGTACAACAGGGCTGGGCAATTATTTTTGCTCGAGGGCCACATTGCAAATCAAAATGCAGTGGCGGGCCGGACTAATTTGAGTCAACCCACATTGCGTTTTTTATTGTATTTTATTACACAATTGAATGAAACAAAATCTAATACAATTGTTATTTTTAATGAGACGTGTGTATGCTCTGCTGCGCCTTAACAAGTCCTTGAATGTCGGGTTCAATGGCAGACGTAGATATTCTCAGCAAATCAGAAAGATGTTCATCGGTGAGAGACGACCGAAATTTCGATTTGGTAAAATTCATTACTGAGAAGGTTTGCTCGCAAATATAAGTGGATCCGAAAAGAACTAGCATCTTTTGAGCATGTCCCCTTATGTTGGGAAAACTTTTTTTTATTTAGAGAGGAATAAAAATCCAGAATTTCAGATGATTTAAATTTTTCCTGAAGTAAAGTGTCACACTGCAAATCAATAAGCTCGAGTTGTGCATCAGATGGTATGTTTTCCACGTTACTGGTGAAAGGAGAAGAGACCATACTCATTTTATTTTCAATTAATCGGAAATCTTCAAATCGTCTTAAAAATTCAGCATGCAGTGCATCTAGCATTGTAGAGTACTTTTGAAAATCATTTGCAGATGTGGTAGCTGTGTTGAGTGTGGGAAAATGAGCGAGATTATTGTTCTGTAATTGGCGTGAAAGAAACTGCAATTTCGTTATGAACGATTTTACCAAGCTGTGCATATTATGCACAAACAGTTTTTTACTTTGGAGTTTGCAATTCAACTCATTCAATAGAGCAGTGACATCAACAACAAAAGCAAAATCAGATAACCATTTCTTATCTGAAAGCTGCGGAATATCCTTGTTCTTTGTTTGACAGAATTCTCGAATCTCCTGCTGCAAGTCCCAAACTCGCTTCAGTATTTTGCCTAAACTGAGCCATCTCACAGTTGTATGATATCCTATGTCAGTGTGCTCATTTTCTTGCTCTTCCAACAGGGAAATAAACTGTCTGTGATTTAGTGCTCGAGACCTGATGAAGTTAACTAGTTTTGTAACAACATCAGTGACATGGCTTATTTTTAGCACTGACTTGCACAATACCTGTTGATGTATGATACAATGTAAAAACACTAACTGCTGCTTTGGGTCAATTTCATTAACTCTGTCTTTCATGCGCTTCAACAATCCCACATTTTTTCCTGTAAGATTTGGGCACCCATCTGTCGTCACTCCCGCCAATTTTTCCCATTTAAGTCCCAACTTATCCATGGATGCATCTACCTCGCTAAAAATATCTGCACCTGTTGTTGTTCCTTTCATTGGTCTTATAGCAGCTATTTCTTCAGTAATTTTGAAATCACAAGTAATTCCACGAACGAAAATAAGCAACTGAGCAGTGTCGCGTACATCACAACTCTCGTCTAACGCTAAAGTGAAGAAGTCAAATTGTTTGACATAATGTAGCAACTGATCTCTTAAATCTCCTGCGATACACTCAACCCTTCTGGTGACAGTTCTTCTCGATAGCGGAACTTGTTTAAAAGCATCTGTTTTATCAGGACAAACAATTGCTGCCGTCTCTACTAAACATTCTTTGACGAACTCCCCTTCAGAAAATGGTTTGCTGTTTTGAGCGATTTTGTGAGCTATTACGAAACTGGCCATGACAGCTGCATCATTAGATGCATGGAGTCGTGTGAAAAAACTTTGCTGTTTTTCGAGCTTTGCTACCATACTCTCCGCTGTTTGCGCCATTTCATTATTACTTAGATTTTTGTATTTTTTTGCATGTTTTGTCTCAAAATGCCTTTTTAAATTAAAAACCTTAATAACCGCGACCTTCTCCTTGCAAACCAGACAAACAGCTATCCCATCGACTTCTGTGAATAAATACTTCGCTGTCCAACTTTTGTTAAAAATTCTGCATTCTGTGTCAACTTTTCTTTTCTTGTTTTCGGCTGACATTTTGCAACTTTGTAGATCTAGCACAGGTTTAGAATTGACGCTACAGTTCAAGTTACATAAATAAAAGGATAAACAAAGAATAAAATAAAGCTGGGCGCAATTCAACAATTTATCTACATACCACTACTTCTACAATATTTGAAACGCTGAGTAGCGCAGAGCTGACTAGCCTAACTGTATCCTTCTTAATTGGGACACGAATCAAAACGCGACTCATCGAAATTACGCGCGCAAAATTCACGCTTCGATTACTCTGCTGTTCAGTAATCACGTGCAAAAACAAGCGCTGATCGTTGCGACAAAGATGACTACAGATAGCAGTTGGTACTATGCCATGGTCTAATCTAAAATACACAAAGCTACCAAAACGCTTATTTCTATTACATTAATGAAATTTGCCCTCAAAGTATATTTTATATGTAAATAAAAAATGTAAGTGTCTTAATTTAGAAATCTGCTCGCGGGCCGGATGAAACGTTGCCGCGGGCCGGATGCGGCCCGCGGGCCGGAGCTTGCCCAGGCCTGCTCTACAAGGTGGTGATCTTGAAATCCCGAATTTCCTAATAAAAATTTTAGCTGGACTTAGGACTATGTTATTTTGTAGAAGTTAAGAACAGAATGGGTCTAAGGTCAGCTAAAATTTTTATTATTGAGAAATTCATTCATGATTTCAAGGCCACCACGTTATAGAGCATAGCTCAAAACCCCAAAATAAGTCACCTTGTTTAACCTTGCATCCCATACAAAAAATTTCAGAAGTTGTTGAGAACAGAGTGGGTCAAAATCCTTTATGGGGGTAAAAAAACAAGAATGATTTAAAGCTGAAGTGCCAAAAAATAGTGATTACAAAGATATTCTCATTCACATTAAAATAACCAGAGCTCAGGTCTTTACTAAGTGTGAATATCTAGAAATTCAAAAATAAGAAAATTTCAAATTGTTTTTTGAGTTTTTCTCAAAACTCGAAATTGTGACTTAGACCTACCTGTTCTGTCCTTATACGGCGATATAGCAATTTCGCTGTCATGTATTACTGCTACAATTTATATGTATTTTAGTGTTTCTTTTGAATTTTTATATATATACTTACAAGCCTATTCATATATATGTTATGTTTAGTCATCTTTATATGTTATCTTTAGATTATAGGTTCTCAAAGTGCTCCATGCATCTATGAGAGAAACCCAGAGGTTTCGATTCGTTTACTTATACTGACTTGGCTAATTTTGTAATTGTCCAAAGAAGCAATAATGACATCTATAAGTTACAATGAATAATGCCACATTCAAATCACCGCCAAGTTGCCACAATTTAAATATTTTTTGAATATGGAGCAGCAAATATATCAGAGTCATTGAACAAAGTAATTTTAATTTACTCCGGAACATTAATCGGTATGTAACAATGTGGTTTTTGTTTTTATTTCTATAAATTCATTGCGGGGCTCCGCAAATAATTGTCATCTCTTTACGAGCTCCATGACACCAAAAGTTTGAGAACCCCCGACCTAGATTGAACCCCCGACCTTTTATGCATGTGGTAACATCAAATTAAAATTATTCAGGGTGAGGGTGTGAATGAAAGTTGCGTAAATTTAAGAATCCATACGATGTCGATTTTTATTAACTATAGCTACCTTTCTTGTTATAAGACAGCATAATGAATTTGAATATGTGCGGATGACTAAATAATAATAGAATTGATATGAAAGTATTTGACTTCATCATCTTTTTGTTTATGATTATTGTCGTGCAGGGGCAAGATCCAAGCGGTAAGTAATATGCGTTTTATTTATTCAAATATTTTCCTAGTCCATCTTGTCTATCTTATGATTGACTTTGCAGCTATTTATAAAATGAAATTGGCTTGCAATATAGTACTTTACATGTAACGAGGAGCTGAACTTCCTTCTCACAATCTTTTTTCTTAGTACTTATATTAAAATTTACTACGTTGCGAAAGTATTATTTAAATAAATAGGACTCAACACAGAAACAAGTTTCAAATGAAGTCTAATGCGATGATAATGAAGTTTCTAAGTGGGTTTGGATTTCCTAAATGGGCAAATCATAAATTCTTGTTTATTTTTCTATGTAATAAGTAAAACAAGCAGCTAAATACCAATCAAGCATTTATAGCAATAGCAATAATTAAACGTTTTTCTGTATGGTATCAATATTCTTTTTGATATCCACGGTTCAAGGGCTTATATCTGCTCAATCCGATATTGATATTTATGCAAATAAAAGCAATATTTTAAAATACAATGGTTGCTACCTGTTCAGGCACATCAAATTTTCGAAACTACAGATTAGAACTATTTGACGGAGGAAATGGGTACGTTGCTGCAAAGGCTGTGTGTGAAGGAAGAAATGCATGGCTTGTTGAGATAAAAGATCAAGAAACTCAGGCTGCAGTGAGACAGTTAACAACGTATGCAAGTATTTTTATTCACATAATATATATAGTTTGGAATTGATATTTTATATATTGATAAAAAAAAATAGATAAAATTGTAGCAAATAAATTTGTTTCAGACAAACTGTTTGGGTCGGTTTGCTTTATGACAGTGGATGGAAATGGAACAACATGGATTCATTAAAATATACCAATTGGTTAGTAATTCAATTATATGTTTTCTTTTAATTCAATATGTTCGCACGTGCTACAGATACGTTTTCTTAAACAAATATTTTAATATTTGAACGCCATCTGTACAAAATGATATTTTAAAAAATAATGAATGCATACAAACTGCATATCTTTTATATGTGTAGTATATTCTTAATCCAAATTAATATTGTAATAATTATCTTTTGCGACTTTCTCTGCATCATGAAACTATGAAGATATGTAGACTACTATGACGTATATCTATAATAATTTAATCGCAGATATAATACGTACTCGTTTTATTTACATATCTTACATACGCTAAAAAATGTAATTATTTTTTTAGTGCATTTTTAAAAATGTCGGTTTTACAGTATGTCTGAACTACTATTACACTCCAAAATAAAAATGTTGAATCTTTATTTTGAAACATTTGACCCGTGATGTATATTTTCTTCTAAAAATGATCTTTTTCTTCGATAATAAGCTATGTTTCATTGTATTCACATCTAAAAGAACTTTAACAATTCTTAGGATTTTATCTGTAAATTTAACTTTAGTTGGCTTTGGTGCGAGGTTTTACCGAAGCATTTTTGTTAATTGGTTTTCTTAAATATTGAAATAACCCAGACATAACTGTTTCTCTCGGTATATTTTTTAAAATTGACGACAAGGAACAGTAAATACATTGAAATATTTATTTTTGAAGTTCCAAACTGCATAAATCACACTGTAAAAATTTTTTACATGGAATTCCATGGCAGCAATTTTTACGGTATTTCCCGCTCAAAATTACTCAAATTTCCTTTTAAAAATTACAGGCCAATCCCGTTTTCACAGCCCAAATTGTCGGGAATTCCCAGTAATATTTATTCGACTTTCCAAGTCGATTTCACCTTAATTCCAAGTGAAACCGACCTGTTTTTCCCTGTAGAAAATGTACAACTTGCTTGCATACCTGACACGGATGTCCGTGTAAAATGCGTGATAGAATTTCCCGGTATATGCAATTACAGGAAATTCCGTGGCAGCAGTTTAAACTTGGAATTCCGTGTAATCCCTAAGTACCTCCCAAGCGTATATGGCAGGTAAACAAAAGCAAACTTAGAAAAGTTTAATCTTAAAAACGAATCAGCAAAAAATGAAAATGACAAAAACGAATCAGCAAAAAATGAAACATAAAAATCACAGGCATTGTCAGGGGGGTACGCAAAGTTATTCTCAAAAAGCAGTCATAAATATCACAGGCATTGTCAGAAAGGTACGTAAAGTTATTATCAAAAAGGAATCACAGACATTGTCAGGGGGGTACGCAAAGTTATTCTCAAAAAGAAATCATAAAAACCACAGGCATTGTCAGAAAGGTACGCAAAGTTATTCTCGAAAAGGAATCACAAAAAAATCACAGGCATTGTCAAGGTGTACGCAAAGTTATTCTCCAAAAGAAATCATAAAAATCACAGGCATTGTCAGGAGGGTACGCAAAGTTATTCTTAAAAACAAATCATAAAAGTCACAGGCATTGTCAGGAGGGTACGCAAAGTTATTCTCAAAAAGAAATCATAAAAATCACAGACATTATCAGGAGGATACGCAAAGTGTTAAAGCGACTCCAAAGTATATTTAATAAATGTCTTAATTATACAGCGAATAAATGTCCAAAGCAATAACCAAAGTAACACATCCAGACATAAACACCACCAACTGAGCTGTGCTCCATCAGACTACTCAGTGCACATGGCCAAATCACCTTCACAGGTGGTTGGTCATGATCAGTCACCTGAAACTGATGACATCAAAGGTCATGCTCAACCATCTGGGAAAATGCTAGTTGCCAGAAATACAGCTAACAATCTCCCCAATTTCAAATAAAAGTTTAACATAATGCATTTAACAGTTCGTGTGAAGATGCTCCTTTCTTAGTCAAACAATCTGCTAATTGTTGATTACTCGGAAGTTTCTTTATGCAGGAGATTTGATGGGATGAAACCATTTCTCTTAAACCATAAATGTCAATCCTGAGACGTTTCTCTGATACAGCTTTTGTCGACTTGATTGCATCACAAAGGCTTTGACTATCAGTACAACATTCAATGCCAAATTTTTCTGGTTGAACTCTTCCAGTCGTTAGTTCGGAGTACAACGCTGCTAATAACACCGCCGTATCAGCAGCATCTGACATAGAGAGAGTTTCAGCAGAAAGTGTGCTTCTCACGACTCTTTTGATTCGCTTGGATTGCCAACATAAAGGTATTTTCCTGTTTCCACCACTCATGAATACAATATGGCCACCTTGCGTGCCCCCATCACACAAATTACCAAATGATGCATCGCTATAAACAAGAAACTTAACTTCATTGTCATGGAAAGCAGGAAATTTCAAAGTGACCTTTTGTGCTTTCAGTTGCTTGACAATTTTCTTAACTTCTATCACAGTTTTAACAGTGCAATTCTTTAAAGCAGATGTGAGTGTAGATGATGCAAATGATACATCTGGCCGAGTTTGATTTGAGACCCACAGTATCTGGCCAAGTAAAGATCGAACTTTCAAGACATCAGCTTCGATTAAAAGCTCACTTCCACTCTTAGTTTTCAATGAACGGATATCAATCGGAAGCAGTGACTCAATGTATTTGTGCTGGCTAAGTGTGATATCTTCCTTATCAGTCTTTAATTCAAGTCCTAAATATTTGAAACTTTCAGTATATTCCACTCCAACTTTGAACTGCTCTCTCAAACTCTTGATGAATTTGCCTTCAAATTCTTCCGAACCGCCCCACAGAAAGTCGTCCACATGCAAAGCGATCACCCCTTTTAAACCATGATCGAAATAATAGAATAAAGCAGGATCCACTACAGAGATACGAGCACCTAATTTTAGAAGCGTTTCCTTAACACTTTCGTACCAATACATTGAAGCATCAGTAAGACCATATACGCATTTCTTCAATCGCCACACAACATTTCGCTTCTGTATTTTCTGATCAGGTGGTTTGATAAAAATATCACGCTCAAGAGATTTTCCCTGCAAGAAGGCAGTTTTAATATCCATAGTTTTTGGCGACCATTTCTTTTGTGCAAGCAGTGCTAAAACAAGTCTGAGACTTTCTTTAGAACATGTTGGGGAATCTGTCTTCAATTCACTGAGACAATCTTCTTCAAAACCTCTAACTACTAGTCTAGCTTTTGGTTTTGGTCCATTGTCAGTCTTTTTTATTGAACACACCCATCTTGTACTTAACAACTTTTGGCCTTTACTTTCTTCCTCTGTGTAGACATCATTTTGCTTCCAGCTGTCCAGTTCCTTCATCTTTGCTTCAAGAAAGAGGTCTTCGTTAATCAACATCACTTGATCAACAATTGGTATTTCTTCAGCTGGTAAATCATCCATAATAGATAGATTCTCAACAGTGTCAAGATCAATGGATGTCTTTGTGCCTTTTTCAGATGAAGGTTGCAAATACCCAAAATTATACCAGCTACTGTACTTTCCTGTTGCTTTACCAGCCCGCCCAAGTACTTTTGCAACTTTTTCATTGCCAGTTACATCCTCTTTGAATTCTACTATTTGACCACGTTTAGGATCTCTCTTCACAACAGGTGAAGCCGAGAGTCCATCGTTATATTCTGAAGATTCATTTTCTTGATCAGTCTGTTTTAAATCTTCCTCGTCATCATCATCATAAAGAATCTCTTCTACTTTTGGTTGTGCTTCATTACTTGATATCTGCTCCTCTTTCTGTTCAACTTTAACTTCTCTTTGTTTATCATGCATCATCCTGCATTTATGTACACGTATAACCAGTCCGCCGTGCCTAAGGAATACTACACATCCATCAGCACCAATAACTTTTGCCGGACCTCTCCATTTTTCTGAATTCTCTCGCTTGTAATAAACAGTGTCTCCAGTCTCATAAATTTCATCGCCATGAGACCTGATTTGTTTTTGCAATGCTCTTCGAATTCGTTCACTACACTCTGATTCAAGAAAGGCTTTTCTCGAAGCATGAAGGGCATTGAGATGAGAAGCAACTACATCACTCATAGAAGTGCCATCCAACGAAGGAGGTTTGTTTGTTAGCAAAGAAGGAAGATTGGGATTCCTTCCAAATACCAGCTGGTAAGGACTGTAACCATGAACATTATGCAATGAATTCTTTGCATTTAGAGACCAGGAAAATGCTGTTTTCCAATCTAATGATTCAGATTCTCTAATTTTCAGCAAAATTTCAGTTAGAATTATGCCTCTCGACTAAACCATTGCTCCATGAACTTTCTGCTGCACTCGTCTTGAGTTCTATGTTGAAATTTTCAGCCATGTCACGAAAAACTGCATTGTTGAATTCTCCTCCATTGTCTGTGAATACTTGTCTTGGAGGTCCGTATATGCTTATCCAATGTGACAAAAACTCATTTGCTATGACTAATGAAGACTTGGAACTAATAATCGAACCAGAACTAAACCTGGTGAACATGTCGATAGTATGCATGTACCCTAAATTTGGGCCAAGCTGATGGAGGTCTATGGCTATAACTTCGTTGAAATCCGTTGCACGTGGCAACCCAACACCCGGTTTTGGAAAAGGTTTCTTGTAAATTTTGCAAACTTGACAATTGTCTATAACTTTCTTCAACATATGTTTGAAGATAACTTGTTGAGTTTTCCTGAATTATTGATCAGTTTTGATAATCGCTCATAGGAAGCGTGACCAAATTGTCGATGCAACTTCAAAAGATCTTTTTCAGAAAAAGCTTCATTGCTTTCATTTGCAGTGATAAAAATCCTAGGAGTAGGTGATTTATTGTTATCGCGAAAAAGGCTGACACAGTAATACTTCTTATTCTCTAGAGTCCTAACTGGTTTATGAAACATTTCCACTCTGTTTTCTGCAAAGTCAATCACAGTATTTGATCTTCTCATGGAATCTTTACTCAATAATAATGGTATATTTTCATCACCACATCACAAGAAATGTTGACTTTAGTGTCCCCAATATATCCCGGGATTTCTATGGAATACAATGAACTGACTTTTCGAC